GTTATTCCAGAGGAGGCAACAAGGAAATTCAGTTCAACATAACTCAGTAGCGGGTGTTGGCTCAAACTTGCAGAGTCTGACCACGAGTAGTTTATTTGAGGCACAGTAAAGCACAGTGCAATCTGGGAAAAGCTTCTTGGTGATAAGGAACTCAACAAAGATTAGGACATGACCAAGGACAAGTGATGTGGTCCTTAAAGACAGGCTCTACTAAGGAAACAGGCTCAAGGAAAACAATCCCTCTAAGTGTTTGGGAGAGCTGGTGTGGCCTGGTCTGGTCTCCAGGCTGTTATCCATGTCTGCTCCCTGCCTTCTGGTGGGGGGGCGGGGCTGTACATCTCTTCCTTTGAAGGGACAACTGTGTGTGTTTAACACTCCTGGTTCCCCTAGTGCTTCTCAGTGAACACAGGACCTCATGCCTCCTACAAGTACCCACACCTGGCTCCTTAGCCAGGGACTGGATGCCTCTGAGGGCGGCTGCACTCATGTACACATACCACACACAGGCACACATGATTAAAAATAAAAATGGAAGCTTGAAAATCTTTTTAAATTGTTTAAAGAATTAGGTTCTTTGAGGGTCTCATACACTGTGTTTTGATTATATGACCCCCAGCTTCTCCCAGGTCTACCCCAACTTCCCTGCTTCCCAACTTCACATCTTTTTAAAAAGCCTCGTTGGATCTGCAGATAGATACTCTAGTGTTTCCCTCCACCAAGGTGGAGTTTCACCATGGCAGAGCCTCCTCACAGCAAGATCAGAGCCCTTGTAACTATGCTATGAAATGGTTTGAGTATTGAAATAGTAAATGTCAAGACCACAACAGCCAGTGAATGTTAGCTTCACTATGACATGCAAAGTGGAGGTTTTCTTGTTGCTTTTCAATTATTGCCTTTTTAAAAAACCAGTTCAGGTCGGAGTGGCTCTGTTCAGTACGCTGTGCTTCTCCCCGACTCTTCCTTCATCTCTAGCTGAGGAAGGGACACTTGTCTTGAAGGCTGAGTTGCTCAGCACCCAGACATTGCATGCACCTGCTATGTCTCTTTTCTGTGCGTTAACTGTTTGAGGACATTTGTGCAAAGCCACCACTCTGGCATTCGGCCAGTCTGGGCCTTTTCCTAGCTAGGATAGAAACCTGTTTTCCCCGACAGTGGGAGCCTGCTTCTGTCCCAGAACTAGGAAGTAGAAAAAAATGCCACAGGGAACAAACTATCTTGAAAAAGCACACCCGGGTTTTGTGGAGCCTGCAGGTCAAAAAGTTTTGAGATGTCTTTTTAAGAACATGGGCTCAGGGACTGGAGAGATGGATCAGAGGTTAAGAACACTGGCTGCTCTTCCAGAGGTCCTGAGTTCAATTCCCAGCACCCTCATGGGGGCTCCCAACCATCTGTAATGAGATCTGGTGCCCTCTTCTGGTGTGCAAGCAAACATGCAGGTAGAACACTGTATACATAATAAATAAATAAATCTTTAAAAAAACAAACAAACATGGTCTCAAGGGCTGGAGAGAGAGTTCCATTCTGATTCCCAGCACACAGAGACAATGCTGTACTTGGTCCCCAGGTTCGCAGTTCTGAAAGGGCAGCCCAGCCTTTGCCCTGGAGGGGGAGGCCTTGCAGTCGGAGGCAGTAGGTATGCCTGCCCTTACCAGCCTGGTCTCTAGACATCTTTGTCAAGATGCTGTGGGCAAAGGTGACATAAAGGAGTTAGAGATGCAAGAGGAGAGTGGAGAAATGTCCCAAACAGACTCTCCCAAGGAAACGGAAGTATAGGAGCATTTATGACAGTAAGAACCCAAAGGTGTTAGGGGGAGGTCAATCAGACTGCAGCTGGACCATCTTGCCACTCATAAGAATGTTCTGGAAAGAAATGAGAAAGAAAAGATGTTCTGTGTAAACTGCACATTGAAAACAAGCCAAAGTGCATAATTTGAATTTTTGAATTTTTTCACGTGTGTGTGTGAGTGTGTGTGTGTGTATGTGTGTGTTTTTCTTGTGTATGTATGTTTGCATGGAGAGACCAGAGAGCAACTTCACTAGCTGGGAACTCACCTATTAGAATAGGCTGCCCGCCTTCCCATCCTAGTACAAAGAGAACACACATTACTTTTATAACAGGTTAGAGGGAAGCAGGGTGAGGGTGTATGGGGGGGGTGCCTGAGCACAGTCCTGGGAGAGAGAGAGAGGCGTAAAGCAAAGCAGGGCAGCTGAGTGGAAACTGGCTGGAGAACATGGTCAGGAGCTAGGGGAGTGGGGATTGCTTTGGAGTTAGGAGAAGTCTGCTTACTTGGTTTAGAAAGACGAGGTCTGGGACCAGCTGGGGAGGCAGTACACACCTGTAATACCAGCACTTGGGGAGGGGGAGGTGGGGGCGTAGAGCATGCCTGGTTTGTGCAAGCTGGAGAGCAAACCCAGGACTTGATGTACACCAGGAAGTGTTCCATCAATTGTATCACTCTTTAGCCGAGGCTTTTATCTTAGTGAAGAATGACATTCTCTGAGGAGAAAGCTCACTCCATATACCATTTATTTCTAAGGGGGAGAGAGCAATTTTATTTTTTAACTTTAGGGATGATGATCCAGGGTTATGATCAAGATTTATGTAGCTGATCATTGTATTTTCTCACTAAGGTCTTTTCTTGGCATAAAACAAAACTTACGACTCTAAAACACAAAATCTATTTGATAACATTTTATTGCCCGACTAGAATTTATTTTAAATTGCTGTAGTCCTTGCAGTCTGTACAATATGTATGTTGTGGTTTGAATATGAAGTGTTCAAACACAGGCTCATGTGTTTCAACACTTGATCCCCAGCCAGCGCTCTGCTCAAAGAATTGTTCACAATATTTGGTTACTTAGAAGAGCAAAGTTATGAAATTAATCTAAGCGTCAATGGGTGAAAAGATTTTTAAACTGTGATCTATATATACGTGTGTGTGTGTGTGTGTGTGTGTGTGTGTGTGTGTGTGTGTGTGTGTGTGTTTTAATGGGGAGTGCATAAGCTAGTGCATAAGCTATAGCTATAGGCTTAAAAATTTTTTTTCGAGACATAGTATCACTAAATTACCAAGTCTGGCCTTGAATGCACTCTGTAGCTGAGACAGGCCATGCACTTTTTTAATCCTCCTGCCTCAGCCTCCTAAGCAGCTGGGATTACCATCCCATTATTGTATGTGCATGTGTTTTTAAATTTACATTG